TCCTGTCTCCACCAAGAATGACAGTGAGTAATTTAGTGATGACCTCTTATGATGAGCTGTCAGAAGCTGGAAGAAGCATTGCCCCTCCCAGGAAAAGGGGTTCTAGTCTAAGATGCGCAGACAGCCTGCAGTATGCAGACTCCAGACCCAGCTTCTCTCCAGCTGGTCCTTAATTCCAGGAAGTGTTAATTCCAGGTCATTAATTCTGGGTTGTTCTAGGGACCTATGCTTGCATAAACATAACTCTCAGGTGGAGTTTAGGAAGTTTCTAAGTGTAGTTCTAGTTCCTGCAGAGAGGCTAACTGCTGGGGAGTAGCTCTCCAGTGCCAGAGGAGAAAGCTCCTCCTGTCTTTGTGTGTTCCTTTGCTTCTGGATAATCTGAGTTTGGGGAGGTGCGAGCTGTCCGTCAGCTCTGCTGACCTGGGAGGGCCTAGGCCCCATTGCAGAGCCAGGGACTATTTTTCAGGCTGAAATAAATGTATAGGAGTCTCCAGTTGGGCCAGGGTTGTAGCTTGGTGGCATAGTGCCTGCCTGGCAAGTGTGAGGTACTGAGTTTGATTCTTGGTGCAAAAAAAAATTCTTGAGAGGTCTCCAGTATTTCACTAAAGGAACTAAGGTGGAACTGAGAAGTCTCTTCCTTGCCTCACATCACAATGAGCTTGGCCCTCACTAAATATTTTTATTAGTTTAGGCAAAGGAGTAACAAAACCAGCACGGGGAACTCTTGTCTGAGGTGTTTATGATTCTCTTTTCTAATTTTACAAACTGTAGGAAACCACTTTCACATTGCAAAGTTATTGTTGCACAAAGCAGGACAGCTACTGGCACTTGTTTATGGCTAATGGAAAGGAAGCCATACATGACTAAACCCTCAGTATCATGAGCCTAAGGCAGTGATCTGAAATGATTACCCCTCCTTGCCTCCCTCCCTCGCTTCCTCCTTCCTCCTTCATTTCCTTTCTACCTTTCTTGGGGGTGGTAAGACTTGGGTGATAGTTTGAGTACAAGCCATCTTAAATCCTGGGGCATACCAGGATCATAAAGGGATAATTACGGAAATGTGGGCAGGAGAATTTCAAAATTATCAGGAGAGCTTAAAACTATCAATTCCTGGGTTCCACCTCCAGAAATTCTTTTTTAATCTTGGAGGTACCTCGGGCACCAGAATTGATAAAATTTTGTAGGTGGTTCTAACAGTCAAAATTGAGAACTACTGACTTAAGTAAAATCAATGCTGGTTTTGATAAAAAAATTGGTTTGATTTGTTTCCTTATTGATGACATTGAAAGCATAGAATTCAGTGTGTTGAGGACTTTGGGTAGACATGGCCTAAGAATGGTAATCATCTGTTAGTGGAGTCACTTATTACGGTAGGATTTTAAAAATTCAAAATGAGACAGAAGGGAGAAAGACTTCTGGGCTGGAAATAATGCAGTTTTCACTGCGTTCTTTCATGGTCTAGCTTTCCGTCTGGAAGTCTGTGTGAAACTTGCTGACACAGTACGGGCAAGCTTCAGTGAGGCTGATGAAGTCTCCGGGTGGTGAGGTCTGCCGACCCAGCCAAATTCAGTCATACCTACCCTCCTACTGGCCAGCTAGCCCACTACCAACCGCAGTGTGAAGTAGATTGTTGGAGCACAGCCAGTGAACTATTTCTGGCACAGTGTCTGGATCATCAACAGGATGCCACCCTTAACATCCGGAACACCTGTCCGGTATGTGAACAAGTTATTTCAAAACAAAGTTTTAGGTTTTGTGTTTGACAGCGGCCCCGTGCAATTCAGTAGCTGTCTGCAGAGTTTCCAGCAGGCGTGAATGTCTAGTGACTTGGAGTTGTTGACTGCTGGGTGATCAGCCTGGGAGCTGGAAGGCAGGGTGGCCGAGTTCCGGCGGGGGATGGTGTAGCACCAGTGAAAGTGTAAGGGATCCACCACCCGCAAGTGAGTGGCACCTTTGGACGAGCCAGACCACAGGCCTGGAACGCTACCCTTTGTTCCCACCATGAGTGTGGCGTGCAGTGCCATTTTCAGAGCCATACAACAGTGTTATTAGTTACTACAGCACCAGGGTTTCCCCTACCACCGGGCAGCTTCCACACGTGACAAACACACGCTGATAAGCTTCCACTGAGAATGGGGCTTGTCATATTGGCACTGTTGACTGTTGGGGGGCAGTGTTCTGTTGTGAGGGGTCGTCCTGTGAGTGTAGGATGTTTAGCCACGCTCTGACCTCTACCCACCAGATGCTAGTAGCACTCCTCTGGTCTCCACAAACTGTCTCTAGACGCTGTCAGTGTCCCCAAGGGATGGGAGAATCGGTTGAGAATCAGTGAGAGTTTCCCCCAATTTCAGAATATAAGAAAGACAAGAGTTTCTACACAGAGAGAATGATGTTATAAGCCCTTCCCTAAAAGTCCATCACAGCGACTGCACCTGCCTTCCCTTCATCTGCCATCAACAGCTTTGATTTCAGGTCATCTTCATATGACCTGTGGTACTCAGTACAGAGCTCTATTTACATAGTAGGTGCTCATTAAAATTTATTGAATGAATAAAAAGATCCACTGTTCCCCACTTCTCTCTATGTGGTCAGGGTAGGCTCCTGAGAATTTAACATGGGGTCTGGCTTAAGCCAACCAGTCTGGCCTATTTTTTCTGGACGGTGTAACAGGTTCCAGGCATACACACAAGTCACACCAGGTTTATGAAAATGAGTCACAGACCATGCTGGGGATGTTGGGTCAAACACTCTTAGCTCAACGTTCCTTTGCTTTTTCTGCTGGCTTGGAGACTGGAAGGATGTAACCCTGACCACTGTCTTGCTATTATAAGCCACCGTAAAAGAAGAGCCTGACTGAGAGTCGGGCAGTAGAAGTGGAGCAGGGCCGAGAGCTGAAGAAAAGGTGCTCAGATCAGGATCTGTGTCCCTGGATCCAGCGGCCTTTCATTGCTGCAGTTGTGGCCAGATCCACCTCTGGATTTCTCAGTGCTTGCACCAGCACATTCCCACAGGTGTGTGTTTCTGCCTTTATTTATTTTGCCCCTGAGGCTGGGCTCTTCGTCGTGAGTCACTGTGAACACAGGGCACTGCGGAAGCTCTGGTCTGCTGTGGACGTATCAGATCTCGTCAGACCCGGCGCGGATGCTGACTGAGCATCACAGGGCCTGGGGCTGGGAACACCTCGGAAGTCACGGTGCGGCCTTCGCCTGCTGAAGGGGCTCTGCCCTGTCCTTGTTAGAACACTGGCACCATGCTTCAACGCGTTTACACGGGCAGGACTTGCCCAATCCTTTGAATTCCCTTAGTCAGCTTTGGCTTGCAGTGAATTCCTACTCACATGAGGGCAGACCTGCCTCCGAAAAGCTTCCATCCTGAAAATAAAGGCAGCTGAATCTAAATAGAACAGTGTTCTTACAATGGGGACAAATGCTGAGGGTTTCTGGTCAGTTTTCCTCCATCTCAACCACACTCAAGTGTTTCAGCTCCCTCTGCAGAACCACGGTCCGAACCTTTGCCATCGTAAAGAGGAGTCTTTGGAGTGGCGCCTGCCCCAGTTGTGACCCATCTTCCTGACCATTAACGTGGCCTCAGAAAAGGGCAAACGGGGATGAAATTAGCTCTCTGTCATGGCTTCAGGGAGCAGTCCAAAGACTGGCGCTCGCCATGTGCTTTCAGCTCGTAATTCAGGACCTGACACATCTAGTGCTAGGTTCCATAAATTATTATTATCTTTGTCATCGTTGCTGTCCTTGGGGGACGTGACTTTAGGGTATTTTCTTAAAATATAATGTCCAAAATTCGGTACAGTATTTCAGATGGGATCTGATCATCCCGGCGTTTTGATATCTCTGGTTTATTTGAGGTCTTTTTCCACGTGTATTAGTCATGGAGACTGGCACGGGTGGTCCTAATAACAGCACTGCCGGGTGGCTCAGCCCTCTCGCTCGCCAGGGTGTAGGTGGACACCAACATCACGGAGCATGTGCTCTTTACCCGGAGACTATCAGCACAGAGGTCCAGCTTCTGAGCTCCCGGAGGCCTGAAATCAAGGCCGCATCTCGGGGCAGCTCATGAGGCCTGTTTTTCTTTCCATGGCGTAACTTGTGGCCGGAGGGAAGAGGAAGCTGATGTCTCCACTGGCCGGGGGTGACTCCCCAAGAACGACGCAGCTGATTCTGTGGTGGGGGACACCCGGGAAAACAAGCACAGGACAGCGCTCTCTGCCCCATGGGGACATGTCAAGTCCACAGCCAGCTCCTCGGTGCCCAGCCGGTGTTTGTAGTTTGTGAGCAAACTTGTCAGCATCCATGCTGGCTGACTGCACTCTGCCCTGGGAAGAAAGCGTCCCGTATTAATCGCAGATGGTGCACGGGTCCCTTCAGCAGTCAACAGAGAAAATCTCAGTGCTCACCGTGTATCACGCACCGTTACTACAGTAATGGAAGAGCTGTGTGTGGCGACACTGCTGTAATTCCAGCACTCTGGGAGGCTGAGGCAGGAGGATCAAAAGCTCAAGCCCAGGCAGGGCAATTTAGCTGTTTAGCTAAAACTTACCTCAACATAAAAAAAATAAAAAACAGTTGTAGGGGATGTAGCTCAGTGCAAAGGCCCTGGGCTCAACTCCCATTAACGCGCGCATGCACACACACACACACACACACACACACACACCCCACAGAGTAATAGTAAAAGAAATAACAAGGGATGCCATTTGTTGGACAATTACAATTCTTGCGTTATTCCCGTCACTTTAGAGATCAGGCAAGGGGGTTTCCAGGGTAATCACTTGCCTGAGAGCATACACAGCAACTTAAGAAGCAGGATCCCCTGGATTTTATCCTCAAGGGCGAAGCCCCCGTAACAGCTCCTGCCTTCTGGGTCCCAGGGAATTTCTCCACATCCTGCCCGGCCTGGCTCTTCGCTCTCGTCCAGTGAGAGGCAGGCTCGCGGGTGCTCTCCACGCCGCCCCTCCGCTGGGCCCGGTCGGAGGCAGCGAGGCGCTGTGCGAGGCGCAGGGGTCAGCGCGCCCCTGTCCGCGAGGAGGGCAGAGGGGGAGCCGCCGGGACCCCGCCTGAGATCCCGCTCCCGGGAACACTGGAAACGGTAGAGCGATTTGCGATACTAAATGAGATAGTGCTTAGCGCTCCTGCTGTCCCGCGGCAAGCCCGCTTTCCTCGGGAGCCTGTCCTCGCTCCCTCTGGTGGGTCAAACCACCTGTTTTCGTAAGGACTTACAGTTTCCTACTACAGCGCCAATCACAGTGGGCAATGTATGTATAAAATCATTGCAAATCCTAGCAGTACTGTATATAGCATCATGGAGATATACACATAGATACCAATTTTAGTTATTGATTTCATCTAAAAACCAATCCGTCTCTCTCTGCAGGCGCCGTAGGAGCCAGGCTGATAAGTTCTCCCTGCCACTGCATTCCCTAGAGCCGTGGTGGATACGCAGCAAGTATTTCTGGGACGGAAAACTGAAGGAATCCGTTAGGAGTTTGCCGAGAGGAAAGGGCGTTGTTACGGGGCGGTTGAGCCAGGTGCGAGGGACGCAGGTGGTGCTGACCAGGATTCCTCCGTGAGGAGGTACAGGAGAACTTTCTCTCCCACCCTGACGTCCCGAAAGACTGGGCTTCCACCGAAACGCTGGCTGTTTTTATGCCCGCAGACTCTGTGAGGCTTATAGATCGTGATATTCTTCTTGTTGTTTTCGCGCTAGGAGGCTTAGAGTTAATTTTCTTACCTACTTCTAGCAACAGGGTTATATTTTAATATATTACCGTAGGTACTACTCTTGCCCAATTCCAGTATTTTTCTAACTTTAACTTACTAATTATTTCTACGTTTATTTACATTTTAATAATGTTATAATTTTTTAAAAATGAGATTTTGAGCCAGGTGTGGTGGGGAAAACCTGTAATTCCAGCATTCTGGGAGACCGAGGCAGGGAGATTGCAAGTTCAAGCCCAATTTAGTGACTTGGTGAGACTTTGTCTCAAAATAAAAGATTTTCTAAGGGGTAGGGATGCAGCTCAGTGTGAAGGCCTTGAGTTCAATTACCAGCATTTCAAAAAGAAAAAAGAGGGAGAGATTTTGTGTGAATTAATGCTTTAGTGAATAATGGTTGCTGTTGCGCTGAACTCACAACTACAAATTTTAATATGCTAAGTGGTAACCTTCTCCTGCTTTCCAATGTTTTTCTAATCCTAAGTGATCCTTTTGATTTTTCTATGTTTATTTATATTTTAATAATGTTATCTTATACCTTCCCAGAAATGAGAGTTTGTGGAAATTAATACTTAAATAGGTAAGCATCCCTGATTCCTGATGTGGAAACCAGCCCACGGCAAGCTTTAACATCACCGGCGCTTTGGAAAGGACACTAGCTTTCTAATTAACCTTCACTGGGGATCCCATCTAGGGTGACGTCACCGACGCCTGTGTGGGGTAGAGCACGTCAGAGTTAAGGTTCCAGCCAGAAGCAGAGCTTCGCATGAGATGACAGACTTTCTACCGCCTCGCTCTGAATCCTGAGACATTATCATGAGGAATATCTACACTTTGCAGAATTTTGACCAAGAGAAGTTGACTTATCATTTCTTCTGCACATTCCAAGCTTTTGGCTCATCTCACCGTCTCATTGGCTGCCAGTGACTCTGACGTGTCACACTGGTCCAGCTGGGGGAGCCATACTGATATTAAAACTTAAAGCACTGGAAGAGAATTCTCCCAAGGGAAAGTTTCCGAGGAATTACTGTTCAACTAGTCTCTGTCATCCCTCTGTAACCCCAAAATGAAAACAATAATTTAAAAGCTTATGTTGTCCCCAGCCAAATAACCACAATCTGCTCCCAATGTAAGGTTCTGTAATTACATTATTTTGAAGAAATTCAATAAAATCTATCCTACGGTACTGTTTTTGTATTTTGCTATATTAAGCCATTCCAGATGGCGACTGAACAACATACCTTTGAAGAGCCTTTTATTTATTTTCTCTAGTCTAATAGTAGCATTTCACAGCTTTTGCAACGTTTTAAGTTGCTGCCTGCTTTTGGCACCTTACCCAGTAATTGTTTGCTGAAACCAATCCTAGTAATTCTACTTTGGTGAAAATATTGGCAAATATTAATGTATTCTAGTAGTTTACATGAACATTCAGCAAATATTAATGCTCATGTAAGCTCTTATTCTGAAAATTAACTAGTGGACAATTATGGCAAGGACTAGAAAATTACTAAATATTCATAACTATAACCAAATTTACAGTTGTTTTGAAGGTTCATAAGAATTTGGACAGATCTTTTGAATTTGAAAGACATACTAATATGGTGACAATGGAAGAGTATTCAAAATCAGAAAATGTATTTTCAAGTCTAATGGGGCCAGGCATGTACCCTAATGCGTACACAGGATGCATACAATGCCTTGAGGTCTTTAGGACATTAGGCGAGCCATCAGGGCCCTATTTGCCATAAAGCCTCTGTAGGTATCCTGGGAACATGCTTAGGAGATGGTGTTAGAAATTTGGAACTAATATTCTCAAACAAAGAGAGAAAATCCTTTCTCCAGCTGATGAAGAAGTGTCCTGGAGGTTTAAGGAGCTCACAGGACGAGAGTGTTACACATGACTTCCTTTCTGGTGTTGGTTTCTGTCCACAGGGAAAGGGCTTCCTGGGGCCATAAAATAGGCTCTGGCCAAGCTGCGTGAACCCCTACCTCAAGGCAGAAGACTGCAAAACTGATCTTCTCCATATTTTGAGAGCTGAATACGGATATGTTCCCTGGCTTGAAATCCAGCGTATCAGCCAATAATCAGTAACTGGTGCTTCTCAGAGAGATGACTGACTTCCACCCTGCTGTCGTTGGCCAGGACTTTCCTGTCTAAACTGCCCAAGTGAACCATCTTCCTACTGTTCACAAAATACCTTCTTGCGCTGTTCTGACTTCTGAATTATACACGGAAATGGGAAATACTTGGAGCCGGAGTTGGGAGGGAGTAAAGGATGATGGTAGGGGACAGCCTGACTGATGGAGAGACAGTGCTGGTCTTGCTGTGTCGTGAATAAGTGCACAGGCCCTGAGGCCAGACTGCTGTGGACTTGTGTCACATCTCTGATGCTTACTAGCTGAAGAGCATCTGGCAAGTTATTCCTCTTTCTCTTTCCTTGTCTATAAACCCAGGCCAATAACAGTGGTACTTCGAAACATGGTTAACATTTGCAAAGCACTTAGAATAACAGCCGGTACAACCAGTGCGCCACTGTACTGTGTGTTAAATAATTGGAGTAGCTCACACATGTTTGGATATAAAAAAGTATTGAAATGCGTTGAAGAATGGACTGTCAGCTATAGTGACAATGATTTAAAGCCAGAAAAGACAAGAAGGTTTGAGAACAAGTTGGCAGCGGGAAGCCCCAAACACGAAGCATTAGGGTTTACGTTGCAGTGGTAGCTACAGAAAGGAAAAATATCTGCCTGACACCAAAAACACAATGGGCAAAACATAGTGATAGGTTGGATTTGAGAGATGAAGGTGGAAATAAATGATTCTAAGCTTATAATCTTGAGGAATTACCAAAATCACGGAACCATTGACAGGGGTGCAGAAATCTGGAAGGAGATGCTTTCTTCTGCAGACAAGATGGGGAGCACAGACCGTGTCAGTATGGAAGGAACGAGAGGACCATGAGCGCCACGCTCGCTGCGGACCGTGCACCGCACAGGCGGGCTGCAGCTGAGTCCGCTGCGATGCTTCGTTAAGATATCTGAGCGGTCTGCGATGGCCCGTGCCGTGCTCTGGCGGTTTTGCCACCTATAATCACACCCGCAATGCAGGTTAGGTTTGTCTGCTACTGGCGTCTTACTTGAGTGGCATGTCATGTGTGAAGAATCTTGGAAAACCAAGCATAGATTACACTCTAAAGAGTGTGTGTGTGTGTGTGTGTGTGTGTGTGTGTGTGTGTACACACAGAGTTTGAATTGATCTGTTTCCAGCCGAAAGTAGAACTTGGCTGGAAGACATAACGGGTTCCTTCTTACTTGTATCATCTTCACATTATAAGAGAATAATTGTGATTGATACTTACAAAGTGATTGCCAGGGATGCTTTAAAGATCTTCATGTGTGTGTTCTGTTCTACACATCACATCAACCCTAGCAACAGAGCGATCCCGCAGGTCACGTCATTGCCTTCACATTGAGGAAGAGAAAACTGAGACACGGAGGAAGCCCGTGATCTTTGGTTGAATTCAGTAGAACTCCAAGGAAAAGAATTGTGTGCAAATGATTTGCTGACTGCTCCCAAGGGTGACTCATACAGGAGTAGGAGGAGGAAAAGGGGAGGGAAGGAAACCGAGCAAGGGTGCCAGTCCATGGAGAAAGCATCATCTAATCACCCATCTAATCACTCGCAGAGCTCTGGGGTGAAAGTTATATCTCAAACTCACCTTAATTCAAGCTGGAGAAGTTGAGCTTCCATTCTCCCTTGTCTGAGAGTCACTAGCTAAGGACAGCTTCCTCCTCCAGGGCTGGCGTGGGGAAGGGGATCCTTGGATTTTTGTATCCGTGGCTCCAGTTGGTCTAAGGCAGTCCTCCAAAGGAGAGCCCCAGATATTGACAATTGCATGACAAACAGCAAGGGTGGGAGGTGGTTGGGTGGGCACTGTTGGTTCCCCAGGGCTTCAGGGTCCCAGAAGTCTCTGTGACGCACTTGTAGAGGACCAGTCAAGCAGATTTTTTTTGCTGTTATTTAAATTTGTTGATTTGGGTCGTCTTTGCTTATGCAAAGATTTCTGGCATTGATCCAAGGCAAGTAAATCTGTGTGTGCACACACACACACATCGCATGCACACACACTCACACGCACACACATCGCATACACACACACATCACATGCACACACACACATCGCATGCACACACAATCACACACACACATCGCGTGCAAATACACACACACATCACATATACACACACATCACATGCACACACACATTGCATGCACACACACACATCGCATGCACACACACACACACACACACATCGCATGCACACACACACACAGTGAGAGTGTGCAGAGCTGATGCATCTCAGACATCATACGTTAGCTATCATAAAGCAGTGCCTTGTGAGCTGAATGCAGCCTACAGAGATTCTTGGTTTGGCCTTTCTGAATTTTTGGCAGGCTGAATTATTAGCCCGTATTTTGAAATTTGGGAGATTTCAGTGAAATTCTTCTCCATTCCTACCTCACATACTGTCCGGAGGTGGACAGCAGCTGGTGCCTCTTGGACAAGGCCCAGGCACTGGCCACAAGCTTTACCACCTCTGGCTGCTCCTCAGCTGTCCACTCTCCTTGTCGTCCGTCTAGCTCCAATGGACATTTAAACTTGCACCTCCCATCTGATGCAATTTATTGACCATATTCATTCTCTTTGCCTCTCGAGACTGAAAACTCATGCCGGCTGTCGTAACTATTTCCTTCTTTCTGTGACTAGCATTTTGACTAGGTTTTGGCCCTTTAGGGGAAGTACGCATTAGATTAGGTCAGCTAACGTAGGTAACACCTGTAGATATCTGTTTAGTGTAGAAGGACCTGGGTTGGTGTCCACATCATTAAAATTAGCACAGAGTTTGTCAGACTGTTCCTTTGCTGATTGTGGTACAACTTCTATGGGTACAAACATAAATTTTAAGAACCCACGAAATTTGTGAACAATCACTTTCTAATTATTTCTTGCTCGGAAAAAGATATCCTAATACATCCCTCAACAGCTTCCAGTATTTTCATTTTCTGTGTCTAAGCATATGAAACAGATATGAAAATGCAATCCTGAGCTGGATGGGAATTTAAGTAAATTATAGTAATTTTCTGGTTGAGCAAATAATTATATTGTTTGAGCAAATAACCATAATTTTCTCTCTATTAAAGCCTTTTCTTGCTTTTAGGATTCCAATGAAAACATGTCTTAATGAGTCAAATATTAAAACTGAGTGCCCAGGAATATGCGCAAGGTCTAATCACCCTTCACCTCTGATCTCATTTAATTATATGGAGAATGCTTTTGGATATTTTTTCTAACCAGCTCAACACAAAAAATCAGAATTTTAATGAGCTATTAAAATATCTATGTTTTCTTCAGACCATTTAATGCTGACTATAGGAAGGATGAGCAAATTCGTATTCTTTTTGCTCTTTAAATTACTGTTAAAAGAGTTGAGATTTGTTCGTCAAGATATGTGAGAGCATTTAGGTAGTGCCGCTTTCGACTGTAAGAAAGCCCTTATAACATTTATTGAACATTTTGGTTTTCCTCTGCATGAGTAAAGAAAGTTATATGCTTCTCTAAGTATTTTGTCCTGCTCATACCAGTTCATTTTTTAGTGTATGGTTACTATCACATTTTATTTAAAATAAGGTGACTTGAAAATACTTTGACCAAGAGAACTCAACCATTTGGAAAAGCTGAAGTCAGGTCCAAAGTCTGAAATGAAGTCTGCGGCTATCTTCAGACAAATCCTTTGAAATCCAGCGTTCTTTGCCATAAAGGTCTCAGTGCTCCTTAAGATAGCCATCTCTCTGCAGTTGTTCCTTCCCACAAGTTCATTACTTTTTGTTTTGATTGGTTTGGCGTTTTGTTTTTTGTTTGATTTGTTACTAAATAGACAAATCTGAGATCAGATGGTGTCTGCCACCTGTACTATGGGGCCAGGGGAGAGCTAAGCTGTCCTGTTGGGTGTTTTCTGTGTGACATGCATACATATACACACATGCAGATCTCTGCCTCTCCGTATATACCCACATGTGCAAACACACACACACACGATATGTTTGTGTACATGTGCATACATTCTTTGATTTGCTTAAAAAAGGACAGTTGGGGCTTTTCAATTTTTTTTTTCTATC